AAAAAAAAAAAAAAAAAAAAATTGTAGAACACTGAATGGACGCCCCCAAAATTATAAGTCTATGTCCTAAGTCCTACAACCTGTAAGTTTCCCTTATTTGGAAAAAGGATCTTTGCAGATGTAATTAAGTTAAGGATCTTGAGATATGATCATCCTAGATTATCTGGGCGAGTCTTCAATCCAATGACACATCACTTTCCTCCCCCAGGGACTGTACCATGCTAAGCCATCTCTCTCATGCTTTGCATCTTACATGTGGGTTCAGGGCCCTCTCTCAGAATAAGACAGTTGGGGAGGAGAATCTCATCATCACAGCTCAGCCTCAGGGCCTCAGATTCTTGATGATCACCAAGGAAGGAACTGGCCATAAGTCTCAAAGCCACATCTGCCTCTTGACTTGAAACAGCCAGGAGTTTTGGAGGAGGCCTGGGCCATGTGTTTCTAACTTTGTTGTGGGAAGTCCTCAATGCCAAGGCTCACATGTGGCTAGGTCTGGGAGGTTACACTGCGAGTCAACAGAACTGTTGTATGCTCCGAGACAGACAGAGGAGAAAAGGCTTCCCCTCTGCCCACATCCAACCTGACCTGAGGCACTGGCTTGACATACACCACCTAGATTTCCTTGCTTTTGCAATGAGGCACAGTTGTGCAGTGCACAACCTACCCACCCATACGTGACAGCCATGACATTAAATATCTGAGAGGATGGGCCACGATATGGGCAGGAAGAAGGTGTCCTAGGGCCAAGAAAGACACTGGCCTGGGACTGGAGAAGCCACTTACCTCCAAGCTAGTGGTCTGAGCCAGGCACAGTCTCCTCACTAACGTGGCTGCGGTGGTCACCATGGCCTGGGATGGTGTCTCCTCCCACTCATACAGCAGGCTGCTTGGGGTCATGTCTTTATCATCTCCAGCATCTGGATCTGAGATGGGAAGAGGTGGATGGGATGACCATATGGGGAAAGGCCAGAGTGAGCTAGAAAGCCCTATGGGAGTTGCCCCCATCCCCACCAATGCTTCCTTCAGCATGTTTCAGGCAACAGGTAAGAGGGGTGTCTACGAGGGAAATCATGACACCGTCCTTGCAAACAGCCTAAGATGGGAAGCACCTATGTACCCACCAGCGGGAGCTGGGCAAACAAACTGTGGACCACTCACACCAGGGAACACTGAGAACCTTTTTTTTTTTTTTTTTTTTTTTTT